ACTACCAAGGGTGGGGACTGGATTCCTTGATTTTGGATAGGAGACAGTGACATTCCCCCCACCTTGGTCTCTGAGGCATAGTCATCAGAGGCAGTGGCTTTAACAAGTGCCAAGTGTGGGAGTGCTCACGACTCTAGGCTCTGAGTTGGATATATGTGGGGCCCAGAGAGCCTGTCAGTTGAGGTGATGAGGTTGCAGTCAATGATAAAACCTGGAACAATAACCTAAGGCTCTGTGTGAGGTGTACATAATGTTTAGGTTCCCCTGATCCGAGGGCATTTATTGGTGGTGGTAGCAGGAGTGCCTTGGCCAGTGTCTTCAGACCCTGGGTGACGTATGTGCAGCACATGGGCCCTGCCATTTAAAAGATTGCCTATAGCAATGGCATTGGCAGGCATTTGAAGAAGTGGCCTTTGTCTCAGGCCCTAGGTGGGATGCTTGGAGGCCTCACCAGCTGAGATAACTATTTTGGTGGTAGTGGCTTCATCTAGGAGATATCCTTAGATTCAGTTGAAGTGTGTAAGGGGTTTGCAGACCATGTCAGGTGAGGAACTGAGGTTGCTGGTAGCAACTGCAGAAGGGGGTGGGGAGGATCAGAGGAAAGGGGTGACCCAGTGTCTTTAGTTTTTGGTAGTTCTGTAGGGGAGTCCAGATTCCTGTCTCTGAGGGTGGTATCCGTATCGCCTAGTTTTTGGTTGGGAGGTGCCCAGAGGCTTATCTCTGGAGGTGGGGGAAACCACATGGAGTCCTCAGTCTTAGGAGGGCCTGGAGGCCTCAGTCTCTAGGGAATACCTGCATCTGTTTCTTAAAGCCCAGGAGCTTTCTCTCCATTGTACACAGCTTGTTCCCTGGCATGGATGGGCTTGGGTGTCAGGTGACTGACAGGGCTCAGCTGTGGACTCACTGCTTCTGTCTTTTGTGTAGGTGTTGTGGGGCAACAGAAGGTCTCAGGAATATGAATGGGCAGGGTCTTTTGAGTCCCAGGACAGGATTCATTTAGCTCCCTAAAAGGTACTGTTCTGTTGGAGTTTGGTTCCCAGGGAAAGGTTGGGGAGATTCAGTGTGTTTTCCTTTTTTACGTTTAGTGCCTGCTGTGTTGACTCTGGGCAACTCACTCACCACCCTGGATTTGAGATCTCTGGTGACTTATGTGGCTCTTCTGTAGCTAGGACTGTAGGTCTCTGAGGTGGCAGTGGGAACTGCCAGGGATATTCTGCTTACTTCCAGTGGGGAGCTCCACTTGTCCGCAGGTCGATCGTGGCCTGGTGCTTTGTCTCCTTTATACCTCCATTTTGAGTATCCATGCCTCAGATTTTTCGTTACTTCCTTTATGGATTCTGGTGTTTACTGTTTTTTCTATTTGAAGTGCACTATTTGTAAGTTGTCTTGGTCCTTTCCCATGGAGAAAAGGTTATTTGGGTGTCTCTAGATGGTCATTTTGTTTCTTCTTGTTTTTTTGATGATAGTCATCTTAACAAGAATGTATAATACCTTAGTGTAGTTTTGCTTTACATATATCTGGTAATTGATGATGTTGCGCACTTCTTCATATACCATTTGGCTACTTTGTGTGTGTGTGCTTTGAGGAAATATTTATTCAGGTCCTTTGTGAATTTTTAAGTCAGGTTACTTGTTTCTCTGTTATTGAATTGTGTGCATTCTCTGAAAGGGATCCTCAAAAAGTTCATGGAAATACATAACATGAAAAAAAATATACGTAGAACTACAGATGAGCACCATGGTGCCTGGTTTTTAGGGTGGACTGGGAATTGAACCCAAGCTAGAAATTGAACTTAAGTCTCCAATGTGATCTCAGATTGCTAGTAGCAATATCAGCCACTGTGCATGTGTTTTTATTCCAGTTCCTTCATGTACTTGGTTCCTTTTAAATGTCTTCATTGTCCTGAGAGTCTCACCCTAGTTATTCTCAGGCCTTGAGAAAAAATAGTCCCTAAATTTCCTATTGTTTTGATTTTGGCTTTTTGTTGATTTGGTATTCACTTGGTTGCCAAAACTTCTTCCCTGGTTTCTAGCATTCTTGCAAGATTACTTTATTCCATATGTATTGTTATTTTGTGTTTACGTTGAGAAATTACCCTGACGCTTTGTAGTCAGCTATCTTTCTGATAACCTCTCTGTTGCTGAACTTAGTATCACTTAAAGGAAGTTCTTTGCTATTGATTTGTTTTATTCAATTAATTTTGGGTAGTTCAGTTTTTCCATTTGGTAACTTTTAATATAGTCTCTGCTTTTTGGGAGTTTTTATGAAAATGTTTTTAAAAATTTATTTAATTTTATTTATTATTTTAAAATTTGCTATAGGCTTGTGAACTCACTAGAGAAAAACAGGGGGGCATGCGGAAGGAAGCTGCAGGACCAGCAGTTAGCATAATGGCTATGTTGCTGAACTCCCATGTAACTGACTGTGGTTTGAGTTCTGGTCCCTGTGTCTTCATTTTTAACAAAAAATGGTTAAAAACATTTTTAAATAGAAAAAAGCCTTATAGAATAAAGATATGAAAATAAAATATTGTTGTGCTGATGTATAATGAGTTTGTGTTTCATACTGTTTTGATAATTGAGGTGAAAGTTAAAGTTTTATAAAGTAAAAATGTTACATTAAGCTAAGGTTAATTTATTAAAGAAAAATATTTTAAAATAGGTTTGGTATAGACTGAGTGCACAGTGTTTATAAAGTCTTCAGTAGTGTACAATAATGCCCTAGGCCTTTGTGTTCACTCACCACTCACTCACTGACCCAGGGCAACTTCTGGTCCTGCAGGCTTCATTCATGGTAAGTACCCTGTACAAGTATTTATTTATTTATTTTTATATTTTTTATGTTATTTTTACTGTACCATTTTGTTTTAGTCCATTTTATTGCTGATAACAGGTTATACTTGAAATGGAATGATTTATGAAAATAGAGGTTTATTCAGCTCATGCTTTAGAGGTCCAGAGTTCCCCTCTGGCTACATGAGAACATAGCAGTTTTTTTTCCTTGTTTTTTGTTCCTTGTCAATACTGGCCTTCATCATTTCCTCTCCTTATAAACCTACCAGTACTCAGTTAATTATAGGAGTCCCCCACCCCCCAGCTACCCATTCACTAATTTCTTCCCCAAAGCCCACCTTGACATCATAATTAGATCAAGTTTTCACCCTCTTAATCTTGTTATAATAAGCATAACACATGAATTTTGGGGAGCCATATTCATACTGTAGCATATTTCTATGTTTAGATACACAAATACCATTGTGTTCCAGTGGTCTTCAGTACTCAGTCCAGTAACTTGCTGTACTGGTCTGTAACCTAGGAACAGTAGGCTATACCATTCAACCAGGTATGTAGTAGATAATACAGGTTTGTGTAAGTACACTTGTGTTCACATGGTGACAAAACTGCCTAATGACACATCTCTCAGAACTTATTCCGTTTGATAAACAAAGCTTAACTACTTTATGGTGTGATAGGAAGAATATACTTAACTATTAACTAATATCAAATTTAAAAGGAAAATGCCTTTAAAACTGATAACTGTTAGTATTTCATTTTCATTTCATTGCTGCTTAGCATGGCCTGTAGAGTGATATTAGCCTATGAATTGCTTTTTTTTTTTAAGAAGTTTTTTGCGGGTATGTGCACTAGCCAGAGATAGATACAGAAAGCAAGAAATCACCCCCCTAGCAGATGGTCAGGCCACAATCCCTTCTCCTTTAGTCTCCTCTTGGAATTTTGGGAAAGCATGCACACACGCCCAGCTTGAGTTTCAAGCTGCTGGGTTGGGGACTTTAACTGCTGTTGACTACGCAGGAGTCCAGGATGCAACCATTATGTCGTCTGCTGATCCCAATGAATTGCTTTTTAATACTGGCCTATCAAGAGATAAGTACAAAAATTGAGAAGTGTTTAGGAACTTTTGTAGCAGTTTTATAAGGTAATTTTATGTTTTTTTTTTTTTTCAAGAACTAGAAGTAAAACATTTCAGCTTATGTTTTATATTTGGGCCTAGCATATGTTTTCAATGTAACTTTTCCAGTTTTTTATGAGTTTTAAATTATTTATTACTAATTAATTTTTGTTAGCATTTTAATAAAGTATCAATGGTGATAAAGTAAAACTTTTTTTTTATAGGAAAAACTGGTTTTCCCCTAAACATAGCTTGAGAAACATTGCTCTAGATCATGACACTGATGAAAGAGTAAATATTTGAAAGAGACAAATGCATCACTATTTATGGGTGATGAGATAATGTTATATACTGAGAAGAGCTAGGAGTTCTGTAGAAACTAATATAACTAATAAAAATTCAGTAAAGTGGTCACATATAGGGAATACTAGTAACTTTAAGAAAATTTTTTGCAGTTTTATTATAATCAAATTATAAAATTTCATCATGTAGAACCATTTTCATTTAAGGTTGAGAGTTGTTAAAATATAGCAGAAATGCCAGTGATTTTTAAGAGACAGTAGTAATGGGAAGAGGTCCTAAAATATGGCTGCTATTGTGAGAAATAAAGAAAGAACAGGTTTTTTTTTTTTTTTTTTTTTTTTGAAATTTTTTTTTTTGGGGGGGGTTTGTTTTCTTTTTTTTTTTTTGAGAAATTTTTGCTATAGGGTGTGTATGCTTGCCAGAAAGACAGAGAGACAAAAGTGAGAAATCATCCCCCAGTGGGGATGGCCATGCCTCAGTCCTTCTCCTCTATTCTCCTCTTGGGATCTTGGGCATACGCACAGACGCTCCCGGCATGCGTTTAAACCACTGGGCCTGGACACGAAGCACAGTCTACTACATGGAAGTCCAGTGACACAGCCATTACATTATCTGCTGATCCCTAGAAAGAACAGTTTTACTTTATTCTAAAATTTTATGAAAGTTTCTTTAAACTTACTCCTTGAGAAGCTATGTGCAACATGAGTGGACATTTTAATCTAAATGTTGGTATGTATGGTAACTTATTTAATAATTTAGTATGTTTTCTTTTAAAATACTGTTTTAGAGAACAGAATCTTGGCATTGTCTTCCTCAAGAAATGGACACACCTCAAACCCTGGATACATCCCAGACCAAGTTTAATGAGCGAGCTGAAAGGACTGAAGTAACAGACTTCCCTTCTCTGGAAGAAGGTGTATTGACCCAATTAGACCATCAAGTCAAGGAACCCAGAAGAAATCTCTTATGTTCTCCGTTGCTAGGTAATGTCTCTCTTCATTTTTTTTTTTTTTTTTGGGAGGTATTTCATATAGGGGATTTT